TTCACTTTGATATATCATTCATTAATGGAATATATTTTCTCTTTCTTCTGGTACAGAATCACCCCAGTTGTGTAGTCATATATGTGCATAGGGTAATGTCTGATTCACTCTACTATCCTTCACACCCCCATACCTACCTATTAAGATTAAAAATATAAACTGTGGATAAAAAGCAAATATTTAAATAATCTGAGATTTTTGTTTTTAAATTTATTTAAATTGTATTGTTATTTAAAAATTAGAATTATTTTTAAATTCTGGGGCTTAGAGTCATTCCAGGTGATGCTCATGTGTAATTAGTATTGGGTTTCTTAGACTGTATTGCATCTATGCTTACTCAAGAGTAGTAAGAATGGTTTGATATCACAGTGTTCCTCTAAGTCCATTTGCAACTGTTAGGAATTCCATGGCTCAAAGGTCTTCTAGAGCCAAATACATAAGTAGGATCAAGAAAATGTCCATTTGAGATTTCTGGGAACTATGACTTCCATAACATCTCATAAGAAGAGACTGCAGGAATCGGTCACAGCCTTGGTGTCTGCCAGGGTTCGGGCGACTCGTGTCCCTGTCCCTCCCTGGCGCTCTGGCGCACACCTTCCCTGGCTTGGTGTTGGCAGCTGCGCAGCCCACAGCCCTCGCCAAGGGGAGCTGCCATCACATGCTGTTTCCCAGACACATGGACATGCTGAAATATTTGCTAGTGGCCTGACCACAGGGGTCCCCAGAGCAGATGGCGTCCATGTTTAAAGTTGGATGTCCCCAGTCACACATTCATTGTGAGTTTGTGCATGTGTGTGCGTGTATGTGTGTGCATGTGATTTGTGGGCCTTGTGCTGGAGAGCATGCATTTTCTTTAGCAACATATTTCACTTGATGTGTAACTTTTTTTTTTTTTTTTTTTTTGGTACTGGGGGTTGAACATGGGCACTTAACCACTGAGCCACATCCCCAGTCACTTTTTTGTATTTTATTTAGAGAGGGGATCTCACTGAATTGCTTAGGGCTCCGCTAAGTTGCTGAGGCTGGCTTTGAACTCATGGTCTTCCTGCCTCAGCCTCCCAAGCTGCTGGGATTACAGGCGTGCGCCACGGGCGCTGGTTGGATGTGTAACTTTTAACTGTTTGGACACAGCGTGCCGGCTTCTCCCAGTGCTCTGTTCTGGGCACTGCAGAGTGGTGGGTGCTCTGAAGTATTCGAGACACGGACATATAAATGGACTCCACACAGGAATGTGCCAAACAAGGGGGAGAAGCCCCAGGTTCAACGGCTGCTGGCACTCCGCCTTTCCTTAACCGGTGCTCCCCTCCCACTGCCCCCCCCCCCATTTCCTGCTCTTTCTCCTGTTTCCTAGGTCCCTTTCATTTTCCCCTTCCCAGGCCTCAGTGCACCCACTGGCACCTCAAGCACTGTGTGAGTCCAGCAGTGCTTGGGGCAGGCGGCAGGGACGGGCCTCTGGAGGGTAGATCTGCCAGAGGATGAGCAGTGGGAGCAGGACTATTCCACAGAGCGGGTGCCTCCACGGTGCGCCCCGGGAGGACAGGGGCATGTCTTTTAGGCAGCTTGCTTTGAGGGGCTGTTTTTCTCGATATCATTATTTTGTTTAGAGTAGTCAAGTCCTCACGCTGTTTAGCTCAAAGTTACACTCCCTTGAGATCTTCTCCATTAGACCCAGAGCCAATCACAATTAAACAAAAGCTATTCCTCGGCTTAGAATGAGATGTTCAGAATGCATTAGTCCTCAACTGATACTTTTTAAAAAATATTTATTTTTCAATTGTAGTTGGATACAACACCTTTACTTATTTTTATGTGGTGCTGAGGATCAAACCCAGGGCCTCTCACGTGCTAGGCAAGGCTCTACCACTGAATCACAAGCCCAACTAATAATCTTAATACTGCCAAAGTGTTGATGTTTCATTGGAGTCACTCGGACTTAGTTGGGGAAGGTTCTATGACTTTGTAGCATCTGGAAGGTCAGAAGGCATAGTGGAGTAACATGATAGGATACATATTTTAAAGTAAATGAAAATCATACTAAATGAATACTGTGCCTTTGGGTGGCTGAGACTGTAATTCTGGTTAGATGCATCGTCTGCTGGAGCTTACTAGGATGATTTTATCACACAAAACTACCGAGAGGTGAATAAAGTGGGGTGTAGCCTTGGGTAGAATAATCCTGAAGTGGTTGGTCTGGTTTAACTGTAGGCTAATAAAACTAATTCTGAGAATCTTTGAGCTCAGTGAAGACTTTTGTGTCCCTAGCCTGCAAGCCTGAGAAAGTGAGCTAAGCAAGAACCACGTCACTCCCGTCACTCCCGCGGGGGTGACAGCTCTGCCCACAGACATACAAATGTAGACAAGTAGGTAGCATTTACTTAAATGAGAATCCAGCCCTGTAAATGTCATGCTGCGCAGGTCGAGCACAGAACACATGTCAATGAGGGGCCTCTGGGTTAGCTGGTGACTCTGAAGGGCGAGGAGGAATCAGCAGGCTCATTCTCCTGGTGCAATGCTCTTACGTGCAGCCAGCACTGCCCAGGTCAGGCAGGTGACCCGGCTAGATCAAAGGACAGTTGGTTCTCAGGGTCTGCAGCCGGGCATTCCAAAACTCTTCCCCCATGTTGTCCTGTTGTGACTTTACTGATGGCCAATGTGGACAGTGGAAAAGGAACATCTAAAAACAATCTCTTAAGAGTTACTTTTCCTTCCGAACCACATGCCAGACATTGAGCTGGGAACACCACCTTCACTGTTCCATCTAACCCTAGATAACCGAGGAGGATGGTCAGTATTGCTGTGCCTGAAAGGAATGGGTGGAAAAGTTGGGATTTAAGGAGGTTAAGAAACCTGCCCAGGTCCACCTGACAGCAACACACTGTGCTCCACGCACAGCTGCTCCTGGAACAGGATACACAAATGTGATAAAATTGGAATGCAGGTAGTTAATCAAAATGCATTGAGATACCATGCCGCACCTTCTAGGATGCCCATGATTTGTTGTTGTTGTTAATTCAGGGAAACTGAAACCCTCATTTGTCACTGGTGGGAATGTGAAGCAGGCGCAGCTGCTGTGGAAAATGGTTGGGCAACTTCTCCAAAAGGGAAACAATTGCCATACAATGTAACAATGTATCTCCTAGGACACCCTTAAGAAAACTGAGAATATACGTCCACACAAAAACCTATATGTGACCATTCACAGCAGCAAATGATCCCAAAGTGAAAATACCCTGAATGTCCATCAACTGATGAATGGATAAACAAAATGTGCAATGAAATATTATTGAGCCACAAAAAGGAAAGCCATACCAAGACATGCTACAACATGATTAAACTTGAAAACTTTATGTAAAATTAAAGAAGCCACATATCGTATGGTTGTGTTTTAGTGACATTCCTAGAATATACAAATTCATAGAGTCAAAGTAGATCAGTGGGTGCTGGGGGCTGGGGTAGGGAAACTGGGAGTGATTGCTAGTTGGGGCAGGGTTTCTTCTTGCTTGGTTGAAATGTTCTGGAATTAGTAGTGATGGTTGTACAGCATAGTAAATATACTAAAATCCAACAGATGGTACACTTTCAAATGTTGAACTTTATGTTATGTGAACTTAGTCTTAGCTTTTTAAAAGGCAGGCTTAGGGTAGATTCAGGAGGTCCTTCAGTCCTGGACTACAGGGTCTAGGTTTTTTCTGGGGCACCAGGAAGCCAGTGAAAGTTTCTAAGGACAGTGACATGCTTGGAGTGAAGCCAAACTGTGTTAATTTTAGCACATGGGGGTGTAGAATTCCAGCTGCCTCCTCTCCCTGCCTCCTGGTCAGGTCAGTTCTCCTGTGAGGAAGCAGTTCTTTTCTGTTTGGATCCTAATAAAGCCTGTCTGTTTTAGTCAAAACCACTCTTGATATTACCCTTCTGACCCACTTCAGCCAGTGCTCTCCTAGCCATCTCCCTGAGGGTGCCTCGCCCCTGGTGGGGGGGTGGGGGGGTCATCTTAGAGTCTTCAGAGCCTCTTCCCCCTCCTCCTCCTCCTCCTCCTCCTCCTCCCCTTTTCTTCCTTCCACTTTCCTCCTCTTACTTTCTTCTCTTTTCGTCTCCTCCTTTTCCTCCTTCCTCTCCTCCTCTTCCTTTTTCTTAGTTTGCCATACAATATAGCGATGTAGTTGTAGATGGACAGAATGCATTTATTTTATTTGTTTATTTTTATGTGGTGCTGAGGATCAAACCCAGTGCCTCATGCATGCCAGGCAAGCGCTCTGCCACTGAGCCTCAGCCCCAGCCCCAGCCCCTCTTCCTTTTCTTAAGATTTAAAATCATGGACTTCTAAAAATATCTCATGGATCTCTACTTTGCCCAATAATGTCACCTAACGCCATATGAGAACTGTGATCCTTTGTCTTCATTCTCCCTCCTTCCTCCCCAATCACACAGGAGGAGCACAGGAAAAAGGAGCCGGTAGCCCAGGCTCTAACGGCTGCCTGTCCTGCTGACAGCCTGACGGACAGCGCTCTCTTTTGTATGATGCTGCCCAATGATAACAGGGGTAATACCCGCTCCACCGGCCCTGCAGGACTGCGCAGGCTCCCCAAGGCTCGGGTCTGTGCCACTGCACCAGCTGCACACCCGGCAATGGCCACAGCAGCACCCTAGTAGGGAGTCAAGGTCCTGCGTGGAGCAAAACCCTGTCTTCAGAAGTCGGTTTCATCCCTCCCATCTTGACTACTTTAAGGACACACTGAAAGCTTTGACATAAGTCACTGCTTTAAGTGGCAAGATCCTTTTCCTAAAGTCATTTGGGAAATGTCCTAGCAGTAGAAGCCACTTCCAAGAAATGGTCTGAAGTGCCATAGTCAAGAAGGGACAGGGGCTCTGGGGATTTTGAGGTCAGCACACAAATGAGCCCTATCGGAGCTGTGGTGGGGACTTCCCAAGAAGCTCCGCCTGGCTGAGTCACCCTGTTGTTTGACCTGCAGTCCTCCCAAGCTGCAGCACTTGGCTGCCGTACCCAAGAGTGGAAAGTTCTCTGCTCCTCTGAGATCACAAGGTAGGTTCACTGGGGTTAGACAGAGGACCCAGGACGGGGTAAGGGTGGAAACGGTTCTCCTTGTACATATCTAGATCTTTCCCCTTTTGATTTAGAATACCTTCTATTCCACAGCCTACTATATAAAGATTTTAAAAAGGAAGAGTTGTCTTTACTCCTTAGCGTTGATAATATACAAGCTTCAAGTTCCACAATAGGCAAGTTTTCATGCCTAGGTTTAAGAAAATGTGATGATGACTTGAGAAGAGAGGTCTTTAAAATGTTAGCAATTAGGGCTCCAGTGGTAGCTCAGTGGAGAGCACTTGCCTGGCATGTGGGAGGTACTGGGTTCGATTCTCAGCACCACATATAAATAAATGAATAAAATAAAGATCCATCTATATATATATATATATATATATATATGAAATTAACAATTAGATGCTCAAAGAAGGAACAGTAACTGAAGTATCTTCTTGTTGAATGCAACTGACAGGTGCCACTCTCTGTGAGGACTCTGTCTCTGAGGCAGTGCCTGGGTCAATTCAGAACCAGATGGGGGCAATGGGGGATGAAGAAAAGACAGACAGACTCACAGATAGAGGAAGCTGATGAGGGAGGACGGACCCAGAGCTAGCTCAGCACGTTATTATACAAGTTTCATCAAAAAGGTTATTTGTGGGGCTGGGGTTGGGGCTCAGCGGTAGAGTGCTTGATTAGCACATGCAAGGCCCTGAGTTTGTCCTCAGCACCATATAAAAATAAATAAATAAAATAAAGGTACTTTTTAAAAAAAGTTATTTGTGGGAAAGTTCAGCAAAGCAGGCAATCTGAGGGATGCAGGACTGGTGAGACATCAGGGTCATCTTGTTATGCTTAGACTTCTCTGTCCCTGGGAGCTGGTGCCCAAGGCTCAAGATCTCGACTAATAACACTGTGTGCCTTTGCAGTAGCCTCCTCTGGCCAGCGTCCTCATAGCAACTGGGCCACATTGACCACCCCCTTTGCACAGGCAGCTACTCAGCCCTGAGGGAGTCAGACCATGGTTCAAATGACCGCTCTGCACAAGGCAGCAACTAACTGGCTTTGAAATCTGGGTGCTGATGCTTGTATCTGTGAGAGTCCCGCGAGCTTTTGCCATAGTTTTTGTGGAACAGGTTGAAAATTTCACTCTTTGGCAAACATGCACAAAGCTGTGTTTAGTCACACTTCGTATTGTAGAAGTCTATGAATTTGCTACTTTTCCATAATATTCCATTATTAGTTGCTCCTAAAGTACCCTGAGTTGTAGTCCTGTGAAATGGTATAAGTAGTGGTTGAAATAAAGATTATTCTGGAAGAAGAAAGCCCTCTGTCCTTGGGATTTGTTACATCTCACACAGTGACATTGGTGTGACTGGCTCATTCCATCAGAATTCTTTTGGAATTTACTATGCTAGCATAGCATCAGCTCCATGCAGGATTCCATCATGAGGAATGGCTATTACAACGTGGTGGCAACTGTGCTGTTGGTCATGAATTTTGAGAGAACGAGATCAGTGCAAGATCTTTGTGGCATCTGTCCAGCTGGTAAGTACCAAATTCCCATGTGTGTTGATGTGTCCTGTTGAAAACATGATTCAGTTAGCCTGGCAGTGAGGGCTGGCTCCTTTTAATGACCTTGTATTCATGCACTTACATATGTCTATTGGATGCTACACACCTGATGAGTGAGCACAGCCCTCTTATTTAACTCTGTGTCTCGACCTTGTCATCTGGGGACTACGGATCTGTCTCCTGCATTGGAGCGGGGCTGCAGAGATAGGGTAGAACAGTGCATGGTGTGGCAGGACCTCACATCATGCTAGTTTGTGCACAAGATCCTGTGCTCAGCCTGGGCCACAGCAGAGAGTAAGCCGTTGCTAGTCGGCTTGGCAGAGTGTGAAAAGTCAAATGTATTCAAATCCTAGTGGACCTATGAAGGACATTAATCTTCTCCTGGATGCAGTCATATTGATCTCCTGGATCAATCATGAGAAATCATTCTTTCTTGTTCAATAGACAAAGGCAAGTATTTTCCTTGTATTGATTCCTTTGTTACAATATTTGTATTTTTCTCTAACTCTGTGATTATGCTAAGGGAAATCTTGCCAATGTATAATCTTAAAAAGTCAATAAACAAAATAATGTCTATCACTGAGATGTCTAGAAGACAAACAATACTTTAATCCTAACTTTCTTGTGAACTTTATAATGCTTTGGGTGGTGACTGTTCATTGCTGAACACATACATTTGTTATCTGCCTTTTAGGTACTTTCTGTGGAAAAAGCAAGAATCAGACTTGCATTCCCTGTCCTTCCAACAGCTATTCCAGCACAGGACAGAGAGCCTGCAACATATGCACGAAGTGTGAAGGTGTGTGTTAAAGGCGCATCCTTCATCTGGGGGACAGGCTGTGGGCAGACTCTAGTTCCCCACTTTCTATTCGATCTCTATCTAATATGTCAAGTATCAAAGGCATGGAATCCTCAGTCAGTGGGCAGGTCGAATAAAAGTACTTAGTGTAGAAGCTATTACTTATGGGGCTTTTTAAATCTTAAAGGAAATGTTCACTTGACAAGAGGGAAACTTTCAATTAGCGAAGTGCAAAAGTGTCTTTATGGAGGTTCAAGAGTAGACGTGCTATTGGGAACGTGGGGAGGAGCGGGGGCATGATTTTTGCTGAAGAACATGAATTTGCTTCCTGGATGTGGGGGTCAAGTGGGGCCTGGGGCCTTGCAGGTTACCACAGGGTCAAGAAGCCGTGCTCCTTCACCAGCGACACAGAGTGTGACTGCATCTCAGGATTCCACTGCTTGGGGGCAGGATGTGCCATGTGTGACCCAGATTGTAAACCAGGCCAGGAACTGACAGCAGACGGTAGGTTTGCTCCTCCTGTGTCTATTCCAGTTTGTCACGTGGAGCAAGTGTATCATGCAGAAACTTAAAAGTAACATGTGATGATATTCAAGTTCATGATATCAACACCATGTTTTAATTAATAAAATGATATATACTTTTTCCCATAAATAGAAATGATTTGAAATCAGGACATTTGCTAATAGTCAGAACCATGCCTTTTTACACATTTTAGATAAATGCAATACCCTACGTACAATTGGTGATCTCAGGGTTCTGTTTCAAGAACTATAAAACAGTGCAAGGTTATACTAAGTTAATGACTTTGCCAGTGCAAAGGAGGGTTATGAAATGATAAAATGCTTCAATCTTTCTTCAAGGTTGTAAAGACTGTAGTCCTGGGACATTCAACGATCAGGAAGGTGGTGTCTGTAGACCCTGGACAAAGTATGTATAATTTCACTTACTTACACAATAGTGTCTGTGTTAAGTGTTTGAAAGACAGGACTATTGTCCTTGAAACTATTTACCCCTTTGGAGTGTAGACCTACAGTGATGTGCTGATAGGAACACCGTGACAGCGCCGTGACTTGACACACAGTGGGCATTCTTCCAGAAACAATCCCTGGAGCGTTGAGATCAGATTCGCCAGGGGAACTCTGCCACCCTCTGCCTTGCCTGGTCTCCTCTGCTTTCTTCCAATCTCTTTGCTGTCTCTTACCTTCTGCACCGATCGCCCATCTCAGGGGGTCAGTACCAGCACTGAGACGGATACAGAAGGGCAAAGTGTGCTTCTTCCCCTCCAGAATGTCCCCCACGGGCCACAACAGGGGGTACAGCAGCCAATAGCACATGGAAGAATGTAACTGTGGACCCTGGGATCTGGCCCAGGGCCACTGAGACTGCCTTCACAGGCAGTTTGTGTGCCTAGAACAGCAGCCACAGGGGCCAGGAGAGGACACTCAAGAGACCTGAAACTGGCAGAGCAACGAGGCCTGTGGTCTCTGATAACAAATACCTGGGCCTCACCTTCTATATGCCTTTCTTTTTTCCATTTGATTTTCTCACTAGAAAATCATTTTAATTATAATTTTGCAGTTACATTTTTATTGTATTTTACAAATGTGCTGATTGGTAACAGATTAGAATGTCTTTTTTTAAGGTCTTTTAACACAAATTGATCAGAATATTTACATGTGTGTGGAAAAGCGGATTGAACTGGGCTCTGGAGGATGGGTGGACTGGGGATAGCTTAAGAGGAGGGAAAAACAGATCAATGATGATGGTGATGATGGTGATGGTTGTGTTGATGATTATAGTGATGATGGTGATGATGATTGTGGTGGTGATGATGATAGTGATGGTGTGATGGTGATGGTGATGGTGATGATGATGGTGGTGGTGATGGAGATGATGATGATGATGGTGATGGTGATGATGATGGTGGTGGTGATGGAGATGATGATGATGATGGTGATGGTGTTGGTGATGGTGATGGTGATGATGATGGTGGTGGTGATGCTAGCTACCATTTATTGAGTGTGTCAGGCAGGCAGAAGCGTGTCATTCATCCATTTGCTTTTCATAACAGTCCTGCGAGCATATACTATCCTTACTTTGAAGATGACAAAACTGGGGCTCAGAAAGACATCATAACTTGCTCAGAGTCATTCTGTAAAGTGGCAGGTCCAGGCTCAGACCTTGCGAGTCTGAAGCAAATGCTGGGAGTCCTAACCTTCTCTGACCCTTCACGTGTGCCCACGATGTGTGACTATGAGTAATAAGTGTGTGGGTGGGGAAGGGGAGAGGCCAAGCAGGCACAGCAGCCTGAAGTGTGCTGTCACTGAACAGAGGGAGCCTGGCATGGATCGCTAGCTTGGGAAGAAAAACCCAGTTCGTAAGTGGAGTGGGGTGAACTTCGTGCATCCTCGAAAGCTGAGTGAAAGCTGAAGGAAGCCAAATGTCAAGTGGAACTTTTTCCTGCACACAGCCCCACCTCCATGACAAGTCCACTTCAGTGGGTGACGAGTATCAAAGTTTTCATTGGAGTCCTCCGTAACTAGATTAATCATCTGAACTCTTTTCCTTGAACTGTCTAAGCTGTTCACTGGATGGAAAATCAGTACGTGAGAAGGGGACGAAGGACAGCGATGTGGTCTGTGGACCTGCTCTGCCCAACATCTCTCCAGGTAACTGCTCCGTGACCTTGCCTGTCCCTGTGAGGGTGCAGGACAGTTGTGTTAAAACCAGGTGAATGTATGGTGTCTATCCCGTTTCTGTGGAAAGCCCCCCAGTGTTGTGAGGTCTCCAATGCCACCCTACAGGCACCCGCAGGGGCCTTCCACCTGCCTTGGGATCCATCTGCTGTTCTCAGACATGTTAGTACGCATGCCTGCTGGGACTCATCCCAAACCAGTGCTGCCCCTTTGTGAGCACCAAGTAGGGGGCACAAGCCCCAGTTTCCTCCCTGCTGGAAAGGCCACGCTGCTTAACTTCTGCCGGCCTCCAGGAAGATGGCCCAGTGTTGGCTCTTGCAGAGTCACTGGGTTTACTAAGCGCGCAGGTTGGGGTGGCCAAGGCTTCTCCCGGGCTTGGCGCGCACCTGCCCCCCGCTGCCCGCCCTCACCTCTCCTCTGCTCCTTGCCAAGGGCGCTCTGCGCAGGTCCTCACCTTCTTCCTGGCGCTGACCTCGGCCGCCGTGGTGTTCCTGCTGATCTTCCTCGTGCTCCGGCTCTCCATGGTCAAGTGGAGCAGGAAGAAGTTCCTGTATATATTCAAACAACGTAAGGCCCACCGAACAGTATTCAACACGAGCGCTCCGGGGCCAGGCTTTTTACTAGGAAGGAAAAGGGGATTTTTAAAGTTATAAAAAGGCGGTTAGATCAGCACAGTGGTTATCAGCAGGGACAACGCCATCCCCAAGGGGACCTTCCGCAAGCTGATGGTGGGGAGGGGCCGTTGGAGTGGGGGGCCAGGGTTCTGCTGAGGGCTCACAGTGCCAGGTGAATGCCCGACAAAGAATGACCCAGCCCCAAGAGAATGCCTGGCAGCTGATGTCGCAGGACCCTAGGGAAAAGCCGGGTAAGAAGGCTGCAGTCTTGGGGGGGCGAGCAGCTGTGCCTGCGGCGCCCTGGCTGTGGGGGGATCAGGAAAGAGCCGCCCCTCTGGGAGAGAATGGCCTTAACTTCAGTGGGGAAGGCAGGGAGAGCTGGGGGTGGTGGTGGTTAAAGTGGCTTTAACTAAGTGGATTATAATAACACCAATCTAGATTAAATGAAAATTTCAGTAGTAAATTCCATTTGTTAATCCGTTAAATAAGGGACTATTTTTTAAAATAACTTTATTTTATTTGTTGTTATTATTTTTTTAAATGTGGTGTCAAAATAAGGGACTATTTCTATAAAGAACTCAGCTGGTGTCCAGCACAGGGTCAGCACCCACTAAGCAAATGCTGCTGTGTTTATAATTAAGTTTACGGTTCATGGATGGGGCAACCAGTGCTTGGTCTTCACGGAGGACCGATGAGTGACCACAGGCTAGATTTAACTCGAGGGGTTCATGGATGGAAGGAGCACTCCGAGGGCACCTACTTAGAAGTTTCAGTCTTACCTAAAGACTCTTAGGGTCCAAAGCCTTTGTGCCGCGGGGAGCATCTAGGAAACGCATCAACGTCAAGGTTAACAAACTGCTGGGGGAGAAACTCTAACCGGGTCTATAAATAGAAGGCCTGGCTCCCCGGAAGCCGTCCGTCCGCAGCCCTCCGCTCACAGCCGCCCACGCCAGCCCCAGCTGGGCTCGCGGGCTCGCGCCCTTCCCTGCAGAGGCCCGGGAGGCTGCTCCCCTGCCCTTCCCTGCAGAGGCCCGGGAGGCTGCTCCCCTGCCCTTCCCTGCAGGGGCGGCTACGGGTGCGCGTGGCTGGCGGTTTTCACTCAATTTCAGGTCTTTTAAGTCCCCCCCCCCACCGTTGACTCACCGTCCGCTCTTGCCCACCCTGACACGGGCGGACGGGGCTGTCTGCAGTGCGCGCGGGAAACCATCCTGTACCTAAGCACGCGTTTCGCTTCTCCTTGTGGTTCTGATTTGCATTTCCCCGACCACCCTGAGGCCGGCCTCCATCGGTGCTGGGCCACTGGCGTTCCTCTTTTGTGAGGGCCGACCTCTCCCAGGGCTGCCCGTGCTTTCCTGGTAGATCACAGGATCTCTGCTGTCAGTGTGTGAGCTGCAGATGGTTTTCTTCCGACTCTGAAGCTCGCTCTTTCTTGGTCTACAGCTCTCAGCTATCACCCACACCTTAAAGGACTGTCCCCACCCCCACCCAAAGGGACAGCAGAGATACTTTTCAGAAGTATTTGGAATTGGAGCCTTAATGGGACCACGCCCACTGGGATACCGGAGTTGGCTTCTGGGTTCCCCGCGGGGTATCTCAGGCAGAAAGAAAACCCACAAAACTCATTGGCGGGTTGTTCCTCGAGGCTCTGAGATTCTTGGCCATTCCCCCCGCTTCTTTCCACCTTCCAGTATCATCTCATGTTTGTTTTATATGTAAGTCCAGAGTTTTCTGAGGGATTCAGTAGCAAGGATATGGAAGATCAGGTCCCCCCCACACCTGCCTGAAGTGGATCTTCAGCGCCATTTTTGAGTTAATCTTTGATACAATTTCAAAAGACAACTCCCTGGCATTTCTGAAGGTCTTGACAGTTTTTGTTGCCTTTTAGGGACAGTGTGGTTGTCTGGTTTTGGTTGTTTTTTTTTTTTTTTAAGAGTAACAAGCATGTGAAATTGGGATAGGCCTTGAGCCTTGTCAGGTCTCGGGAAATACCTGCTTAGGATTTGAAAGTTTCTCAGCAGTAACACAAACACTTCAAGGGAACTTGCAGAAGGAGATCCAGAAGCCGGGCACAGGTCCGTTCTTTGGTTACTATTGGATGGAAGTGGTGGAGATGTCTTTAAAGTAGTCAGCACGGGATTTCATTCAAGAGAAATTGTCTAATATCTAAACAAGTAACCCCACGACTAAAGTATACACTGCTAAATTTAAACTAGAGCTGTGCCTGGGAGATGGCTGATATTTTATGCTTACAGTCACTCACGCATAGGACTTTTTTACTTATTGCAGAAAATAAAGAAAATAGTTTGAAAAGACCAATAAAATATTTGGGAAAAGGAAATGAGTCTTCAATAATCTCCAGGAAAAGCTCATACTCACCGTTACTCTGAAATAAGTCAGCTGAAGTTAAAGCTGAGAATATTTGCTGCTTAGAAATGTTCTACAACTGTGATTTGTGGGAAATAAGCATTATGTGATTTAGACCACAAACATAAGTGTCTTTTAAATCATTTTCTAGCATTTATTAAGCCAGTACAAACTGCCCAAGAGGAAGACGCCTGTAGTTGCCGGTTTCCAGAAGAAGAAGAAGGAGGATGTGAACTGTGAAGTGAAATCCCAAGAGCTGTCAGAACTCACCGGAAAGAAGCCAGAGAAATTGAGTGATCTCACTGTCATGTCCTTTTAGATTGAAAAGTGTCACACTAGAAAGCACCCAGCATTGCCCCTGATGAGTCTTCTCTAATGCTAATGAGTTGGCCTTTACAAATGTTCCACTCTTAACAGAAGCGTGGGGCAGTGTTGGTGGTGAATGTAAGATGCTACTTAACAGGACTGGGCTAGGCTTTTGAAACCCATAGAAAAAAATGATAGTTTCAAGTCAATCCCATCAGGGGCTGGGGATGGAGCTCAGTGCTGAGCATGTGTAAGGACCTGGGTTCAATCCCCAGCCCCACAAACAAACAAACAAACAGAAACAGAGATTTCAATTCAATCACATGGGCAGTGGTCCAGCCAAAATTACCATCAAAACCAATGCAGTTTTTTTTTGTGTGTGTGCTAAGTGACATATGACCATAAGCCATAGAATAAGCAGTAAATATTCCCTACCAGATTTTCCATTAGTCCCCTCATTAACACAATGATGTCCTCCACTGTCAGCAAGAATGCTGAGAGCCCCTGAGTTTGGGGTCGAAGGAGACATCACAGAATTTAAATATTTTTGCCTGGACTGGGGTCCTCTTCATACCCTCACCTTTTGCCATTGTCCCGCTGAGCCGTTACATTAATCAATGGGACATGCCTGAAAAGCATGAAGTTCAAGGAAAAAGGAGCCCCTGGGCACTCAACCCAGCCCAAGCACTAGTGCAGGGCACCAAGCTCCCATGGCCTCCTCTGGCCACCATTTGCCTTTGTATGGCTTATGAGCTCAGGATAGTTTTCGCATTCTTTTTTTTTTTTTTTTAGAGAGAGAGAGACAGAGAGAGAATTTTTTTTTAATATTTTTTTTTTTTAGTTTTTGGCAGACACAACATCTTTGTTTGTATGTGGTGCTGAGGATCGAACCCGGGCCGCACGCATGCCAGGCGAGCGCCCTACCACTTGAGCCACATCCCCAGCCCCTAGTTTTCGCATTCTTAAGTGGTTAAAAATAAGAGTGATATCTCATGGCACATAGAATTATTGGAAACTCAGATTTCATAGTCCATAAATAAAATTTTATGGGCACCCAGCTACATCCACACACCTGGTCAAAAACCACCTTTGCACGACTTGTGTCAGAGGCTGTAGAGTTCCACAATGTCTAAAAATTTGATATCTGACCCTTTGTAGGGTCAAAGTCAAGGTCAGAGGATCCATCAGAATGCAACTTCCCTCCTCATCTTCTGCCCACTCCCAGGCAACCTCTCTAGGAAATTTGGAATCTTTTTCTTGCTTCAAAAAAATCACTTATTACTTAATTTTGTGTCCTAACACTGTTGTTTAGCTGTGTTTGTTTTTGAGCCTTATGAAAATGATACTGTGCTGTATGGAGACTTCTGTGAGTTGCTGTAATCATTCCAAATTATATTTATAAGACTTATGCGTGTTGTCCTGTGCATTTATTTGGCAAAGACGGTACACCACAATTTACCAATCCATCCTCTGCCAAGTTATGTTTAGGCTGTTTCAGGTTCTTTGCAGTCACCAACAATGTTGCTATGAATGTTCTTTTGGGTAGCAGTGTCTCTAGGAAAACTTCCTGAAGGTGGAGTTGCTGGATCTTAGGGCATGTGAATGCTCAGCTTGATGAGCTAGTGACGGTAACAGTTAGGACCTGCTAGGTTATGCAGAAGTAACAAAAGACACCCCACCACCAATCTTAATGGATTGCAACCAAAGAACAAAGGTACATTTTTTAATTGTCACTGCGTGCCCACGATGGCTGGGGCTCTGTCTTATGTTATTTCACTCCAGGATTTGGGTGCAGGGAGCTCCTTCTTAGAACATGGGCCGTCTTAAGGGAAAGGGATACATGTCACTTTCACTCATCTTTAGTTGGTTAGACACTAACCAACCTTTAGAGTAGTCACCAGCTCAGCTAGGGATTGACAGACAGAAAATCCTGATCTTTACACAGGGAGGGGCAAGTGCTTCCAAGGGTGCAGCCGTGTCCTCCACATACTCTAGTTCACACGGCTGAGTCATCGAGTGTCCTGCTGATCTGATCCTCCCTGACCCGTGCTATCAACAACCTGAGTTCTGCCAACTTAGTGGCATTTCACTGTGGCTTTCTTTGGCATTTTTTCAATTACTAATGGGTACTTTGTCACATGGTTATATACCGCTGAGTTTTTAATGAAATGCTTACTCATGCTTTTAGTCTATTTTTTAAAATTTGGTTGTCTGTCTTATTGATTCACATAATTTTCTTATATATTCTAGAGAATAATCTCTGGTCAGTTATATATAATAAATATCTCCTTTGTGATTTTTTTTCTTTCTAATGGCATCTTTCTTTGACTTTCTGCTAATAAGCAACAAAGCTCTCCATTCAATTTGATTAGAGCTATCTTTCTTTTCTTATATGGTTCACATTTGGTTGCTGTTGCTGCCTGATCAAAGAAGTTCTTTCAAATAATGTCATAAAGATAGCTGTTCACAGGGAGGGGAGAAGTAGGGGGGATAGGAAGGCAGCAGAATAGATATTATGATTGCTGTGTGTATATAGGTGACTCTATGACCAGTGTGATTCTGCAATCTGTATAATCAGAAAAATCGAGAAATTATACCCCAATGATTCAAATGTATGAATTGCCAAGATCATTGTAATGTCATGTGTAGCTAATAAAAAAATAAAATTAAAAAAAAAAGTAAGAGGGAGAAACCGAAAAAAAAAGATAGCTGTTCACATCTCAGTCCCAGAGCTTTTGTCTTTCATGTTGTAGTCCAACCTGTCAGGAACTGATTTTTGTGCATGTGGGATCAGGGATGACGGGACCATTCGCTCGGTGCTCCATCTGTGCCCTGCAGATCTGCCAGGCCACCTCTGCCCTCCATCAAGTGTCCATTGGCCACAGGCCTGCTGCTGGGCTGTTATGTCCCACTGTCACTTTGGTTTTCCTGCACTGATGCCACACTGTCTCATTTCAGTGGCTTTGTGATGGTCTTGGTATCTGATGGGACATATCTTTCACCTTTTTCTACTTCAAGAATGTTGAGGCTATTTTTAACCCTTCATTCTTCTCTATAAATTTTAGAAACTGAATTCCAAAAAATTTCCATTGAAACTTCTCTCTTTTTTTTTTTTTTTCTTTTTGGTTGTGCCAGGGATGGAACCCAGGGGCTCTTGCAGGCTTGACAAGAGCTCTACCCCTGAGCTGCACCCCATCCCTTGAAGGAAACTTCACTATAGATAGATCATTCTAGGGAGGGCTAATATTTTCTCCAGGAGGAGGTGATTGACGCGGGTGCTGAGAAGAGCACCTGACGCAGCAGGTGCTGTACCCATGCTGGGTCTTCCCATCCATAAGAGTCACACTACTGTCCTCCACCTCGATGAGGCTTTAGTGTCCTTCAGAAGAGTTTTAAACAATGTCTCCAGAAATGTTTCATGCATCTTCCACTCAGTTTATTTCTGGGGGTTTGCTCTATTGTCACTGGTAGAATGGTTTTGCTTGTTGTGAACTGTAGGGGTGAAGGGAGCCTCTTCATCTTCATTGTAGACAGCCTCTTTGCCAAACTTTCCTATTATTTCTAATAACGTGTAGTAGATTATTTTGACTGTTTACACCATCATGTTATCTACGATAATAATAGTTTCTTCCTTTTAGGTGTGTGTGGGACTAGGTGCTCTACCACTAATGTACACCCTTATTATTAGTGTCTTGCTAAGTTTCTGAGGCTGGCCTTGAATCTGCGATCCTCCTGCCTCAGCCTCCCAAGTTGCTGAGATTACAGGTGTGAACCACCATGCTTGACTATTTTCTTCCTTTTCTAGTTCTTTCTTATGCTTGTCTTCCTGCTAAAATACAATGTGATAGTATGATTTTTATTCTCGTATACTACTTTCAGTTTGGGGCTTTTTTTTTTTTTTTGTAAAACATGCTTGATCAAATAAGGAAGTTCCCTTTTATTCCTGGTTTGTGAAGATGATTTGATTTATTTTTCACATTTTTGTTTTATTTGTCTGTGTTTTGAGATAGGGTCTTGTTCTCTTGCCCAGGATGGCTTTGAACTCCTGTGCTCAAGTGATGCTTCTCTTCCTGCCTCAGTCTCCTGAGGAGCTGGGACAACAGCAGTGCCCTTCTCTCTGGGCCGGGTGCCCAGCAACTCTGTAAATTCTACATGGGTTTTACCTTGGCTTTGGGCACAAGATATCTCATTCTCTGTGGCTTACCATGAAAGTTCAGAAGGAACCGGTCATGCCCCTCTGATGTAAGGCATTCAGAATGACGCCACAAACTCCTACTTGTCCCAGAGAATAAACCCAAAAATCCCCAGTGTGCTCTGCCTGTCTGATGGACTTTGCTTATTACATGGGCCGTGTGATCTCTTTATCATAGTATATTTTGGTATAATGTGTAAAAGTCACAAATGAAAAACACAGGAACTTGGAGTGTGAATCATCTTTTCCCCTAAATGATAGTTAACAAATAAGGAAAATCAAAACAGGATAAAATGATCCTGTTTGGGGATTAATTTGGGAAACTCAACTGTTCGGCTTAATAGAAATAAATGTAAATATCTATGATCAAAATAAATTAACATAGGAATATACAAGTTTAAAAGAGTTTTCAAGTGCCCCCAAACCAGTCTAGGTTATTTTTGAAACAAATTTTGATTTTATTCTTAGTGGAAGATATCACTCTGATGGAAACTCTAGATATGAGGGGGCCTGGCTGTACAGGGTGCCTCCTGCCTGTGCGGGCAGACTTTCCATTCGTGGGTAGCTGAGGCCGCATGAGGGCCGGCAGTGGAGGCTGGTGTGATCTGTGTGGCGGGGCCAGAAAGGGGTCACTAAGGGCTTTTAAAAAGGGCTCTGAAATAAAATCAATGAATAACTCTATCATCTTCAAAGAAAAAAGACAGCTTATTCTTAAAACTTTATGTTACTATTGCAACATCAGATCATAAAGGCTAATAAGGAAATGAGGCGCCACTCTTTGTAAACAATGGAAACTTAGACTTCAGTGCCAAAGTATGTTAAAGACGGGGAGTTTGAGATTCCCTTTGCTCCCAATATTTGACTAATCAGTCACATAAAAATGAATGCTGTTTTATATCAGTGTTGATTCAGAACTGTATTTCAAATTAAGGTTTTAAAACAAATTAAAGGCTTTTAAACAACGTGTCTTTTCCAGATTCTTGGAAGAAACTGATTTTGACCAATTCATCAAAGGAGCCGACTACAAAATATGATTCTTCCCTTGAACTGGTGTCTATGGAGGTGTCTGCCCTGCCCCAGGAACCGTGTGAAGACACAAAGGCACAGGGACTTCCTGACAAGGGGCCAGGCAACGTCAACCTGAGCAGAGCCGCATTGGGGAACAGAGTTTCTTCACTGGACACAACATAACTGAGGACCTACTGTGTGCCAGGAAGAGGACTGCAAGCTGCCCTCCTGTGCTTATGGGCTGGTCCAGGTGGTACCGCCGCTCAGCCCTGTGTACCTGGAGGGGCAGCTGTCCCAGGCTAGAGGGTGGGGAGGGAGTGCTTCCTGGGGAGGCTGAGGAAAGGACGTGCTGGGCAGGGGCTCCCAGAAGGAGCCAAGGGCCAAGCAAGAGGGAGAAGGCTGGGGCTGGGGCCGGAGAAGAGAAGAAGGAAGTGGCGGCTGGAGAGGGAGGGGTATCCAGATTTTCTAAGTCAAGCTGAGCAACTTGGATCTCACCCTGTGGACACGGGGGAGCCGGAGAAGGGGTGGCTACGCTCCCTACCGCAGTGGAAGAAGTTAGAGGCAAGACCAGGTCTGCAGCGGGTGAGGAGGC